ACTACAGTGTGAATATGCTGAGTGACACCTGAAACCAGCACATCTCACAGTCTCACCCAAGGCTCATGGCATGTATTACCTGGTTAGTGCTATTGATTATTCAGGACCCTAGGGCTCTTAGGTCTGGAGGTGATAAATCCTGCCAGGACTGGGTCCCCTTCAAGGTAGTGGGTTCCCTTTGGCCCAGGGCATGTCTAAAAATCTCACCTAAGAGCTAGGGCCTGGAATGGGGGCCTCATGACTTTGCCTAGTGCCCTGACCTACCGTGGCTGAGCTGGTGTCCAAGTTGCAAAACAAAATCCTTTTTATTATTCCCTTTCCTCTCCTCAAATGGAAGGAAGGGGTCTCTTTTGGAGGTATGTGTTGTGCTGCCTGGGGTTGGGGTAGGGGTAGGGGTGGCACTCCCTTAGCCACCCAGACTAGTGTCTCACTGGGTCTCATGACCCTCCAAGTCCAGTGGCTCTGAACCCAGTATAGGAGTAGGACTTGGCTAGGAGTTGCAGTCCTTGTGGCCTTGACAGCCTGTCAAGTTTATTTAGAACCCAAGAGCACTTTAACCTGTGATGGTGAAGCTTGCAGAAACTCAAGGTCTTTTTTTGAGACAGAGTTTCGCTCTTGTTGCCCAGGCTGGAGTGCAGTAGCACTGTCACAGGTCACTGCGACCTCCACCTCCCGGGTTGAAGCAAATCTCCTACCTTAGCCTCCCAAGTAGCTGGAATTACAGGCATGCACCACCATGTCTGGCTAATTTTTTGTATTTTTAGTAGAGATAGGTTTCTCCATGGTGGTCAGACTGGTTTCAAACTCCAGACCTCAGGTGATCTGCCCACCTTGGCCTCCCAAAGTGTTGGGATTACAGGCGTGAGCCACTGTGCCCAGCCAGAAACTTAAGTGCTGACTGTTGGGATGGGTGATTCCCCTCTGGCTAGGGCTAGTCTAAATGCTCCCTCTGTGGGCACTGGTTGTGTTTTGACTGGTGTTGGCAGCACTGAGTTCCCATAATTGCTGCACTCTCCCTCCCCCAAATTCACAGATACTCTGCACAATGTGGCCACTGCTAGGGGATGCAGGAGGGCTGATGCTAGTGATTCAAGACTGTCTTTCCTACCCTCTTCAGTACACCTTTCAGTGATATGAAGTTAACATCAGATACTCTGATTGCTCATCTGTTTTTGGTTCTTTGAGGGTGATTTTTAATGTAGATAGTTGTCAAATATGGTGTTCCTGTGGGGAAAATGATCAGTGAAGGATTCTATTTATCCATCTTGCTCCCATCCCTCCACCTGTGTACATGTTTTTGTATGGGTGTATATTTTCATTTCTCTAGGAAATATACCTTGGAGTGGAATTGCTAGGTTATATGATCACTTTATGCTTAACTTTTTAAGGAAATGCCAGACTGTTTTCCAAAATGGCTGTGCTATTTTACTTTCCCATCAGCAATGTAGAGGGGTTACAATTTCTCTGCATCCTTGTCAATGCTTATTATTGTCTGGTTATCTTTCTTTTTCCTTCAAATATTTGATTTTAGCCACCCTAGTGGGTGTAACGTGGATTTTGTGGGTTTGATTTTTGTATTTCTCTAATGACTAATGATGTTGAATAGCTCTTCATGAGCTTATTGGCCATTTGTTCTCTGGCTTCTGGCTGTGTGTTAATGGAGAGTCAAGTTGAGGTGACTTAATAAAACAGAATATTCTCTGATTTATCAAACATTTTTGTGATCTATCTTCATTCTTATTCTGTCCCTTGTTTTCTCCCTAGTCCCCCAACTCTTTGCATATACAGATTTAGAGGTGAAAACCGCAAAGAGTATGGATCTGGTTTTCCTTTCTTGTGCCCGACGGCTGGAGCTACTCTCTCTTTTCGATATATCCCAAATCCTAGAGTGTAGAAGTAAGGTAGGGTAGGGTAGAGAAGGTGCCTTTGATGATTCCAATCCTGTAGACAACAGAGAGAGGTATCGAACAGTCCAGGCCTGATGTTTTCTATTCTAGGTAGTCTGTTCTCATCATGGCTGGGGGGTAGGGCCTCCCATAACAACAGGTCCTATT